TCTTCTATTTTCTCTCATTTTTATGTATAATTGTCAATTTGTCTAAAAACTTAAATTAGAAATAGAACACATTTGAATATAGTGTTGACCATACTCCTTCAATTGCATCTCATATTTATCCTTTTATTAAATGTGATGTGTTTACTATTCTCATAAATCGATAACAATAAAACTTAACTAAAGATCTATATCCCAATCCAATACTATATAAAGTTATTTTTATAACCTTAATAAATTCTAAACACGCAACCATTTAGATCATGTTTAAATATCATTTTTTAGAAAGAATTTTGTAAAAAATGATTTTATTTTATTTTATTTTAAGAGAACATATAGTTAAAATGTAGGATAAATTTTATTGGAAGAACGTAAGATTAAAAATAAGTTTGACAAAAATTACATTTTAAAATGAAGTACAAACATCGACTTATTTCTTTGAATCTAAAACTTCAACAAAGTAGCTAATTAATTATAGATTAAAATTCATATAAATCGGGAAATTATTATTTTAGACCTTACGAGCTTTATCCACAACATCTTTATCCACTTAAACTGATTGTTGCTAAGCATAGAATAACATGAAAACCTTCTTAAAGAGGAAAAGAAGAAAACATTAGAAATGGATATGAAGAAGAAGACAGCATGAAAAGAAAACGGTATAAAGGGAAAGTTTTGATAGAAGATATATACTTGCAATTGAAGATGTAGATTCAAGCTATGACTTCTGCTTCTCAATCTCTGCATGTACATATATTATTGCATCTCATCTTCATCAAATCTTACACTTCAAAAAAAAAAAAGAAAAAAATGAATTGGGCCTCGGCCAAAAGTCCAATACCACGCACATGTCTGCACTGGACTACAAGTGGCTCCGCCCCTCATGCTAGAGAGGAGATCATTGGGCTAAGGAAAGATTCGAACTTTTCCATGATGTGACTCGAGAGTTGTGTTGGGGAAGTGGTGGTGGAAGTCGTGTCAACTGTGATGAACAGTGGTGTGGGAGTCATTGGATGGAGGAGAAGTTTAAAGAAGGTAGTTAACTTGTCACGTGTATCTCATAAACACATCTCTAACTTAAGTTTAAGAAAGCTCATTTGAGTTGAGTTCATGTAGACATATTAGAGTCACTTGAGAATTTAGCAGATTTTTGAACGATTTATTGATTGTGTACCTTGTGGTTGTAAATGCTCGACCTTCCTTAAATTGGTAATTTTGTGAGACGGAATTGAAAATAAAATTAAAATTTATTCATTTTTCGTCTAGTTTTATTATGTTCTCCATGGTTGCCGTTCAGAGGTTAAAAAATATCCATCTCACATACATGTACACATATCATCTCCCGCAAAAACCGACCCCTCCATAGATTTTCCAGAATCTCTACTCAGTACACACATTCAAATGTCATCTACACTGCCTCTGAGTTCAAAGATAAACCCACCTCCTCTTCATAAACTCCACTTCCTCTCACACTCCACCACTTCCGTTGCACTCCCCTCCAGACCCTTTTCAAAATCCCACATATGCTTCTCAATTCCTCCCTCAAGCAACAGCAACAGCTCACAAGAAGAGGCGCGGTGGCTCAGGGAAGAGCAACGGTGGCTCAGGGAGGAGCAGAGGTGGATTCGAGAAGAGTCCAGGTGGAACGCTGAGCGGGAGACATTGTTGCACGAAATTAACAGTCTTAAGCTTAGAATCCAGGAACTTGAGCGCCTCAACTCCCTTCAGGGTGCATCTGTTTCGGAGACTGTTGCAAATATTGCGAAATTGCTGCAGGTGTATATTGAAGTGGGATTTTCTCTCCTGTAAAATTGTGATTTTTAAATAGATGAATTTTCAGTTGGATTAGCTGTTCTTAAAATAGTTTGGATTATTAATAACTTGACGATTCATATTTTTTCCTTCATCTTGGAAATTGTTCTAGCATGAAGCTAATATTTTGAATTATGTCATACTTCTAAACATTGCAATAGTTTTTGGAGTTTTGGGGAATCTGAGATGACTAATTTAAGAACTTGTTAATTGTTATCGTGATCATTATTTTATTTTTTCAGTTTGAAACATGGAATAAAAAAGTTAAATGGTGTTAATGTACAATTGCATTTTGGTGTTTGAGACAACTCAATTAGTTATATAATAGTTACTGCTAGCATTCAATCATTGCATCACTTTCCTTGAGAGAAATTCGAAGATAAATTTTCATTGAAATTCTTCTTGTTACTTCTCTTTCTGCAACAACTCTTGGTTGGGAAATGTTCCGATATGAATTACCAAAAAAATTGTGATAGTGATGAATATTTCAGTTTTCCTGTAGGTGTTAAAGGAGGGGGAATTAGGAAAGAATGTGAATAGAATTGCAGAAAGTGGCTCAATTGCTGTGCCACTAGTAGTCGATGCAGCTCAAAGGCACGAGGAAGTTGTTGTGAAGGAAGTAATTAAAGTTGCAGATAGAGAGGAGAATGTGAAAAAGGGGTCAACATTGAGGAAAGGATCAGAAGGAGATGAGGTTCATGCCATGCAGGTATACTTGCAAACCCACTGAGGTTGGGGAATCCGTGGGGTTCCCTGGTGGTCCTGAAAATCCACCGAGGTTGTGTTAGTGTGTTCCTTAAAAAAGAGAAAAAAATTATTTTTACTCTTCATTTGTGACTTTTATGCAAGTCTATTTAAATTTGAGTTAGGGTTTCTATTATACACGTTTTCAATAGGAAGCTTTGCAAAAGCTGGGATTTTATTCTGGTGAAGAGGACATGGAGTATTCTAGCTTCTCTAGCGGGACTGAGCGTGCTGTAAAAACTTGGCAAGTATGTTTAATTTTAGGTGTACCATAAAACAGTCTGGTCACTGGCCATACAGTCATTTTCCTTGCATGGAAAAAATGCCCAAATGATTGAGACGCTGCTGCCCTTATTTATCCTCTTATTGACAGGCTACATTGGGAGCTCCAGAAGATGGAATTATGACCTCAGAGCTTCTCGAGAGGTTATATATTGAGCAAAAAGTTAAAAGTTCTCAAGGACTTGAACCAAAAATATCAGAGGTGTGTTCCATCTTGACCTTCTAAAATTTCCATTTCCATATAGCAAAGGGTGGATGCCATTATCTTAAGAACCTAGACTGCTGATACTTTTGACAATGTTTGATGTAATTGTACCATGGAAGTCAAATTCGTTTAGCGTTTTCCCTATTTTAGATTACATGACATTGAACTCTGCCTTCTCGAGTTGCCTTGATATGATATTTTTATCAGTAAAGGGCATGGTCGTAGCTGTAGCTTTAATGTTGATATGTAATATTCCCTAGTGAGTTGCATGGCTTACAACTTTTTCACTGTGTGGGTTCTTCCTTAGAAGAGTGAAAATGGAGCTCCAACCACTTCTATTACTACAGTATCTGAAGTTCAGCAGACAGTTTCAAAAGAAGACGGTACAACAGAAGTTGAAGTATCTCAACATCGAGTCTTTCTTCTGGGAGAGAATCGATGGGAAGAACCTTCTAGACTTTCTGGGAAAAGCAAACAAACTGCAGCCAAGAATGACAGAGGCAATACTAGAACAAAGTGTCTTACTTGCTGTGGAGAAGGCCGCTTATTATGCACAGGTACACGTTTTTTTCCTTTTCTAATTCATTTTATTTCCTAATAGTTCTCTGCTTGACTTATTCATTGTAGATTAATGTTACATAAATCACACGATAATGTAGAAATTAAAAAAAACTGGAAACTTGGAGAACCAAAAAGAAATCACCACAAATTTATTATAGGTAGTCATTCAAGGGTTTCTATTTTTCTACAATTGAGCATCATATCAGTCAATTCCATTTAATTTATCCTCTATATTTGTAAATCGCTTTGTGGCTTCCGTCAGCTGCTTGAACTGCAAACTTGTTTCGAAATGTCTGGAAGCAATTTGGGTCTGGATTTTCTTTGCTTCACTTTAGATTGAGTCATAGTGAAGTGTATGGTTCCAGTTAACTAATTTCAAATTGGAAGCTAGGTAACATGGATTTAAAATATGCCATTTACCAAATTATGCAATATTTCATTGGTCGTACTATCTGTGGTTAATATCTATTAGTTTCTTTGCAGAATGTGATGGATCTGGTGAACCAAACATTGAACCACAGGTTAGAGGATGTCCAATTTATTATAGTTATCAAATATAGTTTGTACAAGTGGTAACTTCAATTTATTCGAAATTTCTTTGATGTTTTCTTATGGTTCAAGACCATCAAATGGCTTAACAGACAGTTGACCAAAAATCAATTTTCTTCAGTTAGTGAACTGAGCTATAAATCTTTGTAAAAATTGACTTGTTCAATTTCTTGTTGCGGGCTCCACTTTGGTAATTAATTGACCTTGATGAATGAAAGCTGGTCTCAGGGTGAGTAATGCCACTTACATATATCTGGACCAGTGCATGCACACTTTTAGCTTGTGAAGTACCATTCTAGATAGGAGTTTAAAGTAGAGCTCGGTTTGTTGGTTTTAGAGACAAGAAAGGGTATATTAGTGTGATGGTTTAACCAAAAGGGCATGTTTTAGTGCAACCATTGTTGTTGATAACGGCATTTTGTGGGTTTTTAACTAATGACAGTTCTGTGATGCAGTTTCTGGAATGGGTAGATGAAGGAGCAAAGTGTCCATACTGTGAAGGCCTTGGATACACAACATGCGATGTATGTGCAGGCACGAAATTTGCCACTGCTTAACTTGTATGTATTTCTTTTTCTTTTTTTTTCTTTTGAAACAGAGGTTGGGGGGTTAACATTTTTACATTTCTTATTTGTACTGAGTTCATGCTTCAATCAATGTACTTGTTTTCAGTAAATGCATAGTAGATTTAAAAAAGATACAGCAGATTGAAATTTCAATTCCATGAATTTCATTGAAACTGCCCTTTCATTACATAAAATCCAAGAATAAACATAATGCCATTTGGTACATTAACAGAAATATTTATTTGAAGTTTCTACAAGTATTCTTAGCTATATACTTTTCCTCCTCAAACCGGTCTAAACTCGATACCTTCTACGATGAGGCCAGACTTTCCACCAGGGTTATTAATATCCATCAACCATGCCTCCACTTCTTTATTATCTTCTTCTCCATTGTAAAAGTTTCCCATTTCTATTTCCATCCAGCCATCACCTCTCATTTGTGCAATTTTCCCAGTTCCTTCGGATTCAAGTTTCTCTGTGCCGTCTACAGTTTTAATCATACTCTGTTCCATTTGAGGTTCAATGAATCTAATCACTGTTCTTGATGATTGAAGGCCATTCAATCTTTCTGCAAGGTGAAATACTAAATATGCTGCATAAGCAGTGTTTGATGACAGCATGTGAGTTTTCATCTTCCCCCGAATATGGATCCAACCGGGACACTTAAGCTTGGCCACCTCAGAGAATCTGTAAATATAAATTCACGTTCAAATTATTATAGATTCTCACGTGGGCATTCATCTCCTCAAGATATATAAATTAAATAAAATAAATTTAGAACTTTTATATGAGATGATCAATGAATATAGTTTCTCCTGCACTTTAAAAAAAGCTGCTTTCTTGCTTTTATAGGATTTCTATGTACGTTACGTGGCATTTGGATGAAAAATAGTCTACACGTGAAGATATGCATTGATTATTAATAGTCTCTCCCGCACTTATGCATGTAAAAATGCAATTTTCTTGCTTTTGTAGAAATCATGTAACAGGCATTTGAATTAAATAGAGTTTACACGTGAAGAGAAGTATTGATTATTTAATATAGTCTCTCCTGCACCTGGATTGCGGGTGAGATGTCCAGCTCCAGCATCCTCCCCACGATAGTAAAAGTTCTCTGGCTCCTAGCATATAACACTTCTTTCCATTCCGTCCATCAAGAGAAACGCTCTGTTTCAAGGTTAATTGGAAATTATTATAGATGCAGAGTTTGTATATTACTAGAAAATCATATTTTCTTGCACAGTAACTAACAGGGTAGATTAGTTGAAGAATATCTATCAAGACAACCTAGAGAAACAGTTCAATAAAGTGTCGATTGTCCAAATAGGATTTTCTATAATTATTAGTTAGATAGAAATATCACCATCAGAGGTGGCATTTTTGTATTGGAGAAAGTTTGGTTCTTGTTGAAGAGTTCGAATTTTTTTCGTTGCAGTCGAATTTATTTTTCCAAGTGGAGAAATCTTGGAGCTTCGTTCGTTGTATCGGAATTTGTGTCAAGGTGAAGATTGTTGGATTTTTTTTATTCAAATTAGGTTGGATTTTTTGAGAAAATATTTTTTCTTTCTTTGCATGTGTTTTTATTAGAAAAATAATATTTTCTTTATTCCACATGATTTTTTATCTTGTTTCCATCTTTGTGATATTTTTAGGGTTTGTCATCTACCCTTATAAATACTACTATTTTCACAAGTTTTGTATTACTGAAATATAGAATAACTGTGTAGGCACAATTATTGTATTTGTTTTCTCCATATTAGTAAATTGAATAAAATACTTTGTTCCTCTGCCAATTAATCATTTGTCTTTTATCTTGTTGTTTGTTTGCGATCATATACTTTATATCGTGTCATATATATTACCTTGATCCGTTTTATTTCCCAACTGTTTTCACATTAAATTATTGTGTTGGAAATCATGTTCTTACATTGAGCAGCTCAAGTGTTCAACACATGATTAAACGTGATTCAATATTATCTATAGTGAGTTACTGTTAGATGTTTCCATGGATGGTGAACTGTAGAGAGTTTATATAGATTTCCATTCACTCGATATTCAAGTAATGACCAATGAGTGGACCAAAGCATAATGAATGTAGAAAATGTACGAGGATATGAACTTACAGTATTGCCTTCATGGAGGAGAATAGGGGAATGACAGAGAGTAAAATATAGGTCTTTCTTTGTGGCATATGAAACTGGAGAAACAGATGTTGAGACGATATGTTGATAATCAGGGGGCAAAAATCTCTCCCAAACGTTGTCTGAATCAGAGGCAGATTTGAACCTGTGTGAGACTATTGAGAGTCTTGTCGTGTCCATGGGCGATGTGAGTGACAAAATGGTCGAAATGCATTCCTCCGGCAGCCTTGCAAAAGGGTCCATGTTCATCCTGGTTATGCTGTTTGTCTTCAAGAGCTTGATCTCTCTGTTTGTGAGAAGTTTGTTTTTGTGTTTATATTTAATACTGGGTTTTCTGTTTCGCACCAACCCTTATCCAATTGGTGAAGAGGTTGATCTATCTCTCTCTCGGAGAAAAGGACGTGGCGCTGTCTCAATATATTTTATATATCATATCCAGTAGAATGGATTTGGCAGTGTACGAATGTCCAAGGTTAGATTACCCAATAAATTTGTTGTTTTGTCCACTTTTCAACATATTGGTTGCTCTCTTTTTTAATTGGAGAACTTCAGTAATATACATACATGATAGAATTGTCCGCTCAAATCAGGACTCGTCATCTTTAAACCACCCAAAGAACGACACTTCAAATGCCGAGTGAATAAGACAGAAATAGAGGACCTACTATTTCACTCTTTAATTATTTTTCGAAGTGATGTACAAGTGAATACTTGAGTAGTTGGTAGCTTCATAAATTTGACTTCTATAATTGTGAAACAGGTTGAAAGTTTCTTTCTATATGAACACGGGTGAATCTTGGCGTGACCAAATATTCAATCAATAAAACTTTTTCAAAAATGGGGCAAAAACAAAGAATTCATTTTTATATATATACATGTCTGAACATTTCAAACAGCAAGGCATTCTAGTTGGATGACGCCTTTCATTGTGATAAAAATGTTTAAAAACTTCTCTCTTTTTTGAGTATCGGCCAACTGTCCAGTCCACCTTGCTAAAGAAGCCATTATAGTTATATCTCAAAAGCAAATAACTAAACTACGGCTCCTTGTACACATCAGAAATTATGAACTTTAAGCCAAAGACATTACAAATTTATTGAATATATGTTCTCCAGATAACAACCGATTTACACTTGGCAATTCACTTTCCTTGATTATTGGATATGCAATGTGTTGAAATTACCATACTATTCAAGTTTTTCATCATCTATTGAAGCTGAAACAACTTTTGAGTGAAAGAAACAAACTATTGCCAAGCTAAGACGCTTTGGCTGAAATCCCAGAAAGGACGATCAGTCTTCTACAATATGCTTTTGGAAAGTGAATATAATTTCCCATGATCATACTATATCTGACTATAAAGTACGATGCTTTTTTTTTTCGCATTCATGTTTATAGGTTGGTCTTCGGTTTACCAGCCGCGATCCGCCTACTGACCGATCGCATGGTCACGAACTCTTCTGCAGCAGAAGGATGTATGCCAACCTGTACAAAAGATCAACTGATGTATCAGCAATAATGAATAGATGTAGATTTCAACCAATACCAAAGCTTTTGCGCGTGTTTTCAAGCCCAGTTACTCCAATTAATTTATCGCGAAGAGTCGAAATCATTGGGCTGCTAAAAGAAATTGGATTAAAATTAGAAGTGGATTGAACTAGATTTGAACTTCGTTATATTTTTTCCAATTTGTGGAAAGTTCATTAAATAATTTTGTCGATTAATCAAACTATATGAACCTGTCTTTCTTTGCAAAGGAATATTAACATGTTGAAAATGAACTTGGCACGAGATTTACAAGAAGGCATGACTACACTCTTCATGTTAATTGAATTTCAACACGGGGTCTTTTATGCTGAATCCCAGAAAAACCGGCTTGTCACATGCATTGAAGAATGAAGAAATTAGAAGCACAATAAAGAACACAAGCTCTGAGAAGTCAGTCAGCTTACCGTGCTATCAAATTGTGCTTTGGTTGCTCCACATTTGAGTGCAACAGCAATGCCCTGTGTAATATAATGATCATACCCAGTAAGAAGAAAGTTGAACTGGGTCGATGCTAGCAATATTGATTCTTACGCTAACGAAACGTATGCTAAGGGAGTTTTGGACCCTACTAGACAATAGTAAATAAGAAAAGAAGTTAGCAATTCGTATAACGCACGACTAACTACGATCTAATACTATGTGCCAAAAGAGTGTGTTATGTGAGCAATACTGGACATGACTGTACTAGACAAGCTTTTAACTTCTATTTCTTGTTTAAAACTATTGAGGGATATACAATTCACCTAAACAAACAAACTCTAAAGGGGAATAATATTTGTTAAAGTGGACTAAAAACCATAATTATCAGTGGACTTAGCTGTGATGAGTATAAAATTAGTACTTTAGTAGAATGCCATAACCCATTGACTTGAATATTCTAATAATTAATTGCTCTTAAAGACATTACTACGAACATAAAATTAGGCATTACATAAAATACCAGTTCAAATATGTAGTAAAAACCCATTTTCAGTAAAAATCTGATATTAGCTAACCGAACCTCTAGCAAGAATTGGTGCTTTTGTATTTGTTGTGTCAAAATATGTGGACACATATTAAAACAGTGGATGATGATTGTGGCTTGCATAGAAATAAGCATCAACCAAGCATATCGTCTTCTTTTAAACAATGTGCAAGCTCTATGTCAATATACTTGATTGTTACGTATTTCCACGTCAAACAGTGCAAAAAAGATGTAAAGCAAGAGAGATGTCTATGTTAAATGATAAACCTAGATTTAGTTTCGTGAAGAACAGTTTAGACCGTGTGTAAATCAAACTAGTCAACATTTAAAGGATAGACAAAAATTCACTTTAGAATCACCGAAGTGAGAAAAATGAGTAAAGAACTAAGTTGTATACCTGTATGATCTCAGCTGCATCTGGTCCACACATGGATGCTCCAAGGACTTTATCAGTCTCACCATCAACGACGAGCTTCATAACCGTTTTCTCTTGACGCCTATGCAACAATACCACATGTCATCCAGTTACTTAAAAGAACATGCTTCTACAGATTAAAAAAAAAAATCAAAATTAAATGTTGTGAAGTTCAACTATCAACAGTTCCAGAGAAAAAAATTAGGCTAAGTTTTCACCATTCTGCATTAACAAATCATTTACTAGAACGAAGATACTTTTTGTGCAAATAATGCACTAATCAGTAATCATAACCAATATGAATTGGCCAACCCTGCAAAGAAACATTTACTCAATTTTCAAAAATTTTTGAAAGAGCAGAATCTTTGGGTTACAAGATAATTTGTCTCTAGTATCATAACCAAGATACTAGCATTGAAAACATCTTTGAAAAGGTCGGCCTATTTTATTTTAGGCATACAATATCAACAACCAACCAACGTACCCAGAAATTGTGTTCTTCATTGGATTAAATGTTGATGTGAAGACTAAAATGTCACCATTTGCTTGCTCTATGGCCTGTTCCTCACTGAGACCAACTACAGACAGTGGTGGTATGCTGTCAAGCAGCAAAAGATTAAAGTTATAAAATATTAATGGCTCCGAAAATAAACAAAGAGAAAGGCCCAAGTGCGACAGAATTTGACAAATTTTAGTCTACTACTGGTAAGACAATAGTGAAATATGATGGTAACAGTATAATCACTGAAAAATCAGATACAGACAAGGCATCACCTAATATCAAGGTATTACCAGTGCAGATCTAAGAAAAATAATAAAACAAAATGTAAAATTGTCCGTATCCTGAATCTTTAATCAGGTATTAACAAGAACTACTTATAAGGTAGTTTTCGCTTGGCCAAGAACCAGTTTTAGTGGATACACTGTTGTTCCACAGGCACTAATACTGTCTGTTCCTAGATTATAAGCTCTGTCATAAATTTTATCTGACTTATCTAAAATGTCAAGCTGTTAGAGGGGCTATACGTATTCATTTAAATCTCATCTTCAATGTGCCTTCTGCCTGGCATTGGTTTTGATATAATGTTAACCACATCATCTAAAAGCTTAAGCAATTAAAGAAGGACCACGTGTATTCAATCAAATCTTGCCTTCAACATTATATTGTTTATGTTATTTCACCTGGTTTCTTTTATTGTTTAGGTAGATGGTGTCCTATTGAGTGATGTGGTAAGGGTAAAGCTCGGGTTTTAAGAGCTCCACCACAAATTCTCTCCACCATGGACAGATTTCCAGGTTAGAAACCTTAAGAAAGTAACTTCCGCAATTTGGTTCCCTCTAAATAACTCATTCTAATCTATAGCAAGTCTTCCATAAGCAATCTTCGAATAATATCCTGTTACATCACCTAACCTCTCCTTCACGGAACTTTAAATATAGTGCATACCCCATTACATCAACATCCCCATTTTTCTTGATCCTTTTGCTCTAATTAGGTGCTGTGTACCCTAAATTCCATTAATATATAGAGTGAATTCACATTTATATTTTCTTATCTTCAAAGTTATCTGCAGTCGGTGATGGATGCTCTAATTTTAAGGGTGTTTAATCCAAAAAAGTTCTCCAACATACCTAAATCTAATTTGGTCACACCATTAAGAAAAGTAGTTATAGTCTAAAATACACATGAGAAATCCAACACCCAATCGGATCTAGGTGGACTGGTAAAAACCTCACTTTGGCTTTTATGGCATTTTGGGGGACAGAAAGGTTCTAGTCTAGCATAACTTGATACTAAAACCAGATTCCGTGCATTGCACATCGTTAGTTTGTAGATTTCTAGTTCATCTCCTTCTAGCTAAACTAACTCTTATTACTTTGTTTTCACCGTCACAGCTTATAAAATCTGGGAGCTCATTTACATAAAAAAAGGGGACTTCAACTACGACTGTTATCATGCAAAATGAAGAATAATAAAGTGCGCAATTTGAAAGTTGGCCAAGGAGAGATAGTAGTACCAGAACACAGCACAAGGAACATGGCTGTAATCAGGTTTTGAGGGTTGTTCACCAAAAACAGTTTTCTGCAGCAACAAAAAATTAAGAATTAAATTATATAAAAACATAACAATTACATAACATGTTAATTGTGTTCATTAATGAAAAAGATACTAGTAAACTCAAACAAAGAAAATGACAGTTCAGCAGAAAATATACCGCAAAACAGGTTGCTTCCATTAATGCAACAGGTGTAAGATTCATTCGGTCTGTAACATCACCTACAGCCCATATGCTAGGTATGTTGGTACGAGAGTATTCATCAACCTGATGGAAACTAAAGGATCAGTAAAATAGAGGATAACTAATATGGCATATGAATCAAGATGACAGAAAATTTTAGTCTGATATCTCATCACCAAGGACAAAAATATAAAGCTAAATGCCATGTCAAAAGCCCAAAAAAAAAAGGGAAGGAAATAGTTGTCCATGATTCCATAAAAGTTTTAGGAATCCAACTTCATTGTTCACCCAAGTCAAAAAATGACAGCCTTAACTATACTAGGCAAGACAACAAAACTAGCAATGCTCTATTGCATATTCATAGTGCAAGCTCAGAGTGTCTGATAAATCCCTGAGACCAGGGTATGTAATGTTTTAAGCTAAATCAACAAGTTACATCATTTCGTGGCCTTCAGTTCATGCACTTTTTCAAAAGACACACATAGGAATGAGAAAAATCAGTAACAGGGCCACTAAACCTTCATGGCTCCATTCTTATCAAGTTCAACGCCTACAGCTTCCAGATTCAACCTCTTTGTGTTAGGTGCCCTACCTGCAACCAATAGCCAAGATAATAATAATCAACTTCTCACCAGAGAGAAAAATCTAAACAAAAGAATTTGAAAAAGAAAAATGGCTCCTGATTAAAAATGTTAGGAGTTCATGCACAGCATGCTACACAAGTGCAATGCAAACCATCAAATATCCAAAACATCCGATAAAAATCACAAAAATAGTCTCCTGTCACGATGAGACAAACTGCTACAAAGAACTTGTATTGCAAACACACTAACCATGTTTATTACCTTCTCTAAGCAGAAACTATCAAAAAATTAGAGCTCATGCTATCTCTACCCAAAGAATACTTTTCTGCTGATATGATCTTGAAAGTAGAGTTAAACCTCATTACATCTAACCTAATTTCAACAAATTGTACATTTAGAAGCACTGTCCCAACAACTTACAATTATGGATACTGTTTGGCGTATCTACGTTCAGTAATTCAGATTGGGAAGAAATTGATTACTATGCACTTAAATCATGAATATAATAATGACAGTACAAGGTAACAACATGATTATTCAGTGACCAAGACAAGATTTTTTTTTTTTTTTGATAAGTAATCACGTAAATTTTATAAATAAAAACTAAAAGATAATGCACAAGGAGTGCATTATCA